TTATGTCTATGTAAATACATTTAGGCTGTCTGTATGATATAGTTACTTATGTCAGAACTTCAAACCAAAATTCAGCAGTGATACCTTTATTGACCAACCAATTGAATTTGCTAAATGGCCAACACAGCTACCCCGAATGTTTTTCTGTGTTTGCAAGACCTGAGCAGGACAGGTGATGACTGAGGCTCTTGGAGTCTCTCATTCATGTTTTTCACCACGATTGAAATCAACTTGATGACAAGCAACAACAGCAAGAAGAAACTGGCTGAGAGGAGCTGGCTGGTTTAGGCAGGCAGAACATCTCTGTCTTCCAAGAGAAAGAACATGTTTGGGGCACCATTGCTGTCCCCTGCTCCACTATCAGTTGCCTGAGGTGTCTGCCTCATTCTTCCAATTGATAAGCCTTGCCCTACATTTGCATCAGTTCTCCATAATCAATTATTTTCCTTCAACTTTGAAATTCTCACTAAGATTGCATTTACATTGCAGAAGTAATCCTGTTTGAAACCACTTTTATTACCATGTCTCAGTGCTGTGGAATTCTGGGAATTGTAGCATTGACACCAAGTGGTGTCAAACTGGATTATTTCTTCAGTGAGGATGCAGTCTAAGAAGCAAAAGTGAAGGATCAGTTTTTCTTTGTTGCCTGTGTCAGCAACTACCAGGCACCTGCACCTTCAGAATGATGCTGCTCCAGTTAACATTGGTCTGGCTCTCACCCAGAGCTCTATAAACTGGTGTCATCTCTTCAGTCTCAGGTTGTTTAGCAGCCAAACTATCCTGAAGGCAGACTGGTGAGAGAGCCAAATTTTCCTGCTGCATTGTTAGCACAGCTCAATTTCCTTCCTCCTCTATGCAGATCTGAAATATGTGAATGACATATTAAGGCAGAAACAAGTCAAACAAGTGCCAGGAGCCTAAGTCTTGTTTTCTTAAAAATAAAGGCAGACAAAATCATTAAAGAGCCATCTGCTAATCTTCCTGTTAGGAGAAAGAAGCAAATCTGCTAATATGCAGTGTCACAGGCCTAAACTGGGAAGATCTTATGTTCATACTCTTCTCCAACAATCAAGTTTTCTGGATAAACTTAACTGAGGGCCTCTACAGACCCTGATTCAGAATTTCTGATTCTTGCTTAGAATCAATCTTCATGATGATTCCTTCTGAGAAAGAGAGATAGACAAATAGAAGATGGAATAATACATGAACAGCCTCCACACCCCATTGATTTTTGTCTTTTTCTTTTTAAAAAAATCATGCAACAGGGGACCACAAGACACTTGAAACTGATATCAGGCATTCCCCAGTTTTCGACAACTTGTGCAATGTTCTGCTATTTCAACAGATCTTACCTTTACCGCACTTTCGATCTTGGACTGCTCTTTTGATCACACAGTGCTTCCCCGCCCCCCTTTGCAGGCTGCACCTACATTGCAGAAATAATCCAGTTTGACAGCATTTTAATTGCCATGGCTCTATGGAATTCTGGGAATTGTAGTTTGTTGTAGCACCAGAGCTTTTTGACAGAGAAGGCTAAGAGTTCCCAGAATTCCATAGAATTGAGCAAAGGCACTTAAAGTGGTGTTAAACTGAATTATTTCTGCAGTATGGATGCAGCCTCATTTCACTTGGCATGCTGTTTTTTTTCCTCTATTCAGTGTTCTGGGTTTCTTTCTTTCAGTTGACTTGGCACCATCTACTGTTCTGTCTTGCATCTGCAAGCTAAAAAAAGAAGAAGAAAGGACTGGGTTCTGCTTTTCAGCCATTTCCACTTTCTGACAGTCTCCTGGTTCCTAACCCATCAAATAAGTAGGTGATGCCTGTACAGCAAACTAAAATATGCAACCCTCAACTTTAACAGCTTTACCTTAGATGTGAAATAAACACAGTGGGTTGGGGCAAGGATCTGACTTCTAATATTGGATTACAACTCTGGAGAGCAAGTCACATGCTGTCAGCATCAAGGGAGGGCAATGACAAATCTCCTCTGAAAATCTGTCCAAGAAAAAAACCCTTAGGGTCACCGTAAGTTAGAAATAACTTAAAGGCACACAACAGAAATAACAACATCCATCCGTCTCCACATAACAGCTCACACTGTTCACCAGAACCTCTCAATCTGTGTAGCATCTGGGATGGCAGGACTCCAAGGGCTGCCAAACAGAAGAGGAGATGGGAGAACTTCCTTCTAGTAGGTCAGTTGCACACATATAAACCTGTATCTAACCCATTATTTCTTTTCTTCTTTTCGGATATTGGTGGTTGTACAGAGACTACTTGAGTCTAAGTTTTGTACCTAGACTACAAAATCTCAAGATCCGAAGACAAGCACGTAAGCAAAACCTTAATATCTGTTCATGTCCAGCAAAGATATCACATTATTCGGATATATAAATCAAGGAATACTTGTTGGCTTGGAAATGATATGGGGAAGCTGTTTATTTTAAATATTTGTCAATTTAACATAAATTTTAACTAGATAGGGTAAGACAACACTACTAACAATTTCTGATGAACATACTCAAACAGAATCTTGCTGTGTGAGCCATTCACTTAATGGGAATAGCTGACTGATTTTGTGGGGCATGTTGTAAAGTGGTGGTATGCATTCCAGATGTTGTTGACTTGCAATGTCTAGCGTCCTCCCTATTGACTATGTGAGACAGGGTTGCTACATTGGAAAGATTGTATGATTGTCATCAGTGATCTAAACTTAAAGAGTTTTGGGGCAAACCAGTCACTGTAACCTAGAGCTGCTAAAATATCCTCTGATCTGAGTTGTATGAAGCTTGTGCCAAGAAATAACAAATTCTATACAAAGCAACTCAATTTTCTAAATTACACAAATTAAACACAACCTCACCTATCTGCTTGTGTAGTGTGCATAACTTTTTTTTTTTTTACAAGATATGGTATATATTTTCTGAAAGTGTGAAACATACTTTGAAATTATCACCCATTTCACAGTACAGTGGTCATTTGCTAGGCAAAGGTCCTTTTCAGTGGTGGCACTCCTACCTTCTCTTCCCATAAATGCTTGCCTGGCACACATTTTGATGGTACCAGGTGATTCTTTTTTCCAAGTTTTGGAACTTTTATCTGTTTTGTTCTCTCGCATATATTATTTTCATGCTCCTTTTAAATATATTTTGGTTTTATTTCTATGAATTCAATATTTTAATGTGTTTTTTTTAAAAAAAATTGAGCTGTCTTAATTATTATACTAAGAAGCAAGATATACAATATATCTCAAAAATAAATAAAGGGAGGTTCATTTAATTGCCATGGCTCAGTGCTATGAAATTCTGGGAATTGTAGTTTTGTGAGACATTTAACCTTCTCTGTCAAAGGGCTCTGTTGCCACAACAAACTACAAATCCCAAGATTCCATAACATTGGGCCATGTCAGTTAAAGTGGCATCAAACTGGATTATTTCTGCTGTGCATGAAATACTTGGAATCGTAGAATAATAGAGTTGGAAGAGACCACAAGGGCCATCCAGTCCAACCCCCTGCCATGCAGGAACTCCCAATCAAAGCATCCCTGATAGATGGCCATCCAGCCTCTGCTTAAAGACCTCCAGGGAAGGAGACTCCACTACTCTCCGAGGGAGTGTGCTCCACTGTCGAACCGCCCTTACTGTCAGGAAGTTCCTCCTAATGTTGAGGTGGAATCTCTTTTCTTGCAGCTTGTATCCGTTGTTCCGAGTCCTATTCTCAGGAGCAGCGGAAAATAAGCTAGTGCCCTCCTCAATATGACATCCCTTCAAATATTTAAACACGGCTGTCATATCACCTCTCAGCCTTCTCTTCTCCAGGCTAAACATCCCCAGCTCCCTAAGTCTTTCCTCATAGGGCTTGGTTTCCAGACCCTTCACCATTTTAGTGGCCCTCCTTTGGACACGCTCCAGTTTCTCCACATCCTTTTTGAATTGTGGTGCCCAGAACTGGACACAGGATTATTCCAGGTGAGGCCTGACCAAAGCAGAATAGAGTGGCACTATTACTTCTCTTGAGCTAGACACTATACTTCTACTGAAGCAGCCTAAAATTGCATTGGCCTTTTTAGCTGTGGCATCACACTGTTGACTCATGTTCAACTTGTGGTCTACTAGGACTCCTAGATAACTTTCACACGAAGTCTCGTTAAATCAGGTATCCCACATCTTATATCTATGCATTTCATTTTTTGCCCTAAATTATTAAGTGCAGTACCTTACATTTCTCTGTGCTGAAATTCATTTTGTTAGCTTTGGCCCAGCTTTCTAATCTATTAAGGTCATTTTGAATTTTGATCCTGTCTTCTGGGGTATTCCTCCTAATTTGTTATCATCTGCAAATTTGAGAAGCATGCCCCCTATTCTTTTATCCAAGTCATTGATAAAGATATTGAATAGCACTGGGCCCAGGACAGATCCCTGTGGCACCCCACTGGTCACTTCTCTCCATGATGAAGAGGAGCCTTTGCTGAGCACCCCTTTGGGTTTGGTCAATCAACCAGTTACTAATCCACCTAACAGTTGTATTGTCTAGCCCACATTTTATTATCTCATTTGCAAGAATATCAAGGGGGACCTTATTTGAAGGGGGAGGCCTTACTGAAATCACAATATGCTATGTCTACCCGATTCCCTTCATCTAGCAAGCTGGTAATTTTATCAATAAAAGAGATCAGATTAGTCTGGCATGACTTGTTTTTGAGAATTCACACGCCATGGTCCCAATCCAGCTTTTTGCCGCTCCAAAAAGAAGAACAATAGTTCAATAACAGATCACATGCTATGTATTCAAACGGCCCCAGATTCAGCTGTTGGCATCTCAGTTTGAAAGGATCAGGTAGCAAGTGATGAGAAAAGCAGTTCCCACTTCCTCAGATCCTTGACAGGTGATCCCAGTCAAGACTAGCCTATATTAAATTAAAGAGGACAAACAGATAACCTGGCACGAAGCAGCTTGTTATGTTTTCCTCAGCACAAGCTATCTGAATGATCCCTTTTGACTGAAGATATCAGGAAATGAACATGAGGTCTTCTGCATACAAAGTATATGCTCTGCCACTGAACTATAGCTCCCACTGCTGACAGATAGGAGTGTTTGCATTTTGCTATATGCACACACATCAGTGACCAGTTGTTCCTCTTTGGCATGCTTGCTTGTGGTGAATTTGTCACAGTACACTATTTGCATGTTTTTTTTTTCTATATGGCAGTGATATCATATCAACAAAAGAAAGTAATTGAATTTTTAAGTGGCCAGTCAGCAAGGGAAAGTGAAGATTTTCAAAAAAGCTAATGAAATATTAATAAAGCAATCCATCAAATGAGGAAGTAATAAGACACACTTTCCTGCTACATTTTATCTCTGTGCCACTTTCAATTTCATCTACATTTCTAATGCCATTTCTAAGGAACTGCCAGGAAAATCCAAAACTCTCTGAGTAATGATTGTGTTCATGTATGATTTTAAAGTATTTACTTTCCTTTTGTTCTTCAAGATAATCCTCACTGTCTGTAATTAAAGAACAAGAGAAAAAGTCCAGGTCATTAATGTATTGGGTGGGAAGGGGGGACTGGTCTTTCATTTATACAGCAGAGATCAAGGGGCATCCCTGGAAAAACTTCAAATTGCTACAAGTAGGGCACTATCAAAACTCCTCCCCTCCTCAAGAAAGATAGCAGTCACCAGTGTCATCCCTAGGGTTGGCATCACCCAGTTTGATAACTCATGGTGTCACCCTCCCATTGACCACCTCCCATTTCACCCCATACAGAATTCTTTGTAATGCTTTTTTGCACTAATGTTACTTGATTGTCATTCCCACTGAATACCACTGAATACCACATATGTCATGCCCATATACCACTGAATGACATAAACAACTAGCAAAATTAAAATTATACCTTCAAATTACAATATCATACACACAGCCTAAATGTATTTACATATACATAGCGAAGATTTGGTTAAAGTGTGATATTTTTAAAAGAAAATGTAAAAATAACATTTTTAATATATATTTTATATATATATATATATATATATATATATATATATATATATATATATATATATATATATATATATATATATATATATATATATATATATATATATATATAACTTTTTTTAAAAAAATAAAAAATTTGAAATTTGAAATTTTAATTTAAAAAAATCCTGGGGCATCTCCTTTCTCCTCCCACAGAGTTTCACCCTACTCCCACCATCTCTTAAAACATTTTAAAGGGAAGCAGATGAATGCCACAATCTGTTTCTGCCCAAAGGTAGCTGTTTGAGGAGCAATGGTGTCATCTCCCCACTTAGGGTCTTACCTGATGCGGTCCACACACACCCCGCACCTCCCATTGTGACTCCACTGGTAGACACCATGATGATGGGCATCAGCCCTAAATACAAAGGGTAACTGAATTCCCACAATTCTTTGTTGTCACTCTAATCTTAGAAGTGAATGCAGCTGATATGGTTTTGTAGAACATCCAGTACCTAATAACAGTCCTTCATTGTCCACAAATCTCAAACCCAAAGGCAGCAAATGTCCACACAATTACCTAGAACTGCATTGTGCCATATAATTCAAAGCTATCTGAAATATGGGTCCTGTGATTGATCTGTCCTACTTGCTAGCTAATTTATCAGGAGAGACCTCTGTCTACATTTCTTCACCATGTTAGCCAGATAAGTCCTCCTTTGTATTTTTTTGAAACAAATATTGATTGTTACTTGCTATCAAGTCAGTTTCAACTTATGGTGACCCTATGAACGAGAGACCGCCACGTCACTCTATGATTAACCACCACCAGTCCACAACAGTCTTTTGTAATCAGCTTCAGATACCCAAATCCAACATTTATCTGTACTGTATCTGTTGCTTGTTAAGGGTGAGGTTGAACGCAGAAGGGAAGATACAATTTGATTTGCTGATATTCACATCTATCATTTCAGTTGTAAAAACAAGAAATGGGGCCAGAGTTAACACTTTATATTTGATCAGACTTCTTCAACCAGGCCATTGGATGTTCTGGCTGGAGATCATGGGGGTTTCTGGGGCTGAGAGTGTGTTACTCATCCAGTCTTTAAGCAGAGGCTGGATGGCCATCTGTCGGGGATGCTTTGATTGGGAGTTCCTGCATGGCAGAGGGTTGGACTGGATGGCCCTTGTGGTCTCTTCCAACTCTATGATTCTATGATTCTATGATCACCCAGTTGGTTACCGTGGCCGAGTGTGGAATTGAACCCTGATCCTCAGAGTCGTAGTCCAATGCTCAAACCACTATACTGCATTGGATCTCAATAGTGTTACTACTAATAAGGAATCAAAGAAGTGGGTCATTGCATGCACTGAAAGTCCAGCACAGATGATTTAATTTTATGCTTTTGAATATATGTGATGGCTCCTCCTGATTACTGTACAACAAGGTTATCACTGGGAAATAAAATCCTTCTCAAAAGGCATTCTCAGCAGCTTGCACTTCACTGAAGCATCACATACACTGGTATTTTAATCAGTTCAATGGTCATTAAATCTCAGTTGTTCCTTTTGTATTAAAAATGCTGTGCCCAAGTGCTCACTGTTCTCTTCCTCTAATATTGCTCTGATATCCTGCTGCATCATCAGAACCATAGACCTCCCCACTGTGATAGAACAGACAATAAGAAAACTTATTAATCATTTTTAAACAGTCCAACAATGGTGTAGTGTTAAGTTTCAAGTAGCAGAAGTACATCATGACAGTCCCCCATAGCGACAGCCATAAGGAGAGTCCAAAAATACAGGCAGTTATGTTGATCCATGATGACAAACCAGTTCTAGCAGTCATTTCCCCCAGGAACAAGTCTCTTGTAAAATTAATGGATCTTAATTAAGCATTCAAGATGGAAACATGAAATGTGTGTGTGTGTGTGCATATGTGTGTTAATCTCTCCCTAGAGCTAGTATGGTTGGGACTGAGCCCCCTAAATGACCTGACAACATTGAACTACACAAGACTCCTATATATTTGAGTTTCTTCTGGAGTTATCAACCAGAAGTGTATTGAATGATCAAGTAAAACAAATGCAGCCTGGGTCTCCAGTGTGCTTCGGCAGCCTTATTTCAAAACTGGGAGCTTTCTGACTTGAAAAAAATGTCCATTGAAGTGCACTGGGGACCCGGGCTGCAGTCAAGTTGGACTCTCCCAGCAACTTAGGCAGCAAAATCCATGTGATAAGACCTGGCTGCCTCCTGAATTAGATTTCAATTTGGAAGAGGTAAGATGGGTTAGTAGAGAGGTGGGCTAATCACCATAGGTTGAAAGTGATAGAATTTTGGAAAAAGAAATGGGGCGAAACATCTGTATTAAATTTCAAGGAATATTAATATATGAGACATAATCTACGCATGCACACACACACACAAACATATAATGGACTGACGCTTAAATTAAGGACAAGAAAAAAATGGGAAGGAGTAAAATACTGAGATAAACTTGTAAATAGATGGAATAATATAGATATATTGGTATTAAGGTATTTATGAAACTGATATGTGTGTGTGTGTGTGTGCAAATATTGTAAATAGATAATAGAAGGCAATGAATAGAACAGAAAATAAAGTGGAAAAAGATTGAGAGAGAAGAGATAATGAAATGTGATTACAAAAGGACACGTAAAATCAATTTCTAGAAGGAAAGACACTAAATGGAATTGATTTATTTGTGATTTTGTTGTTGTTTTGTACATAAAATATGGTGACAACCCGAAAGCAATAATGATAAGTAGTTTTTATAATTTTTATTAAAAAGAACGGGGAGGGGGAGGCTTGCTGAGACACATGAAACACACAAGGCACACTTCATGTGTGTACTAGGCTCCTGTGAGATCTCAAATCTTATAGGAACTCCTAAGCAGCCATGATGAAGAGAAGAATTTTACTGTTGTCAGGCAAGGCATGTTGCTTGGCTTGGAGTGGATGGAAAGCATGCCTACCAGCCATGCTCACAACGGACCACACTCCAACATTTGGTGTTTAATTTGAGTGCATTTGAATAATATATGAAAGTACAGAGGCCAGAATCCTGTTGAGGAGTTATGAATGTATAATCTAAAATCATGCAAACATAACAGCTTAGTATTGACCAGGGGTAGGCAACCTTTCCCCTTTAAAGGCCGAGGGACTTCAGCTCCCAGAAGCCTCAGCCATGTTGGCCAATAGTCCCATGTTGGCCAATAGCTCCTGGGATTCTGGGAGCTGAAGTCCCTCGGCCCTTAAAGGGGAAAGGTTGCCTACCCCTGGTATTGACCATCTCTTCATCTTCCGTAGTTTAGAGGACATGTAGGGACTGTGAAAGTCTCCCAATCCCCACATACAGGGAAGCAGCTCTTGCAATTGACAGGGGTCTGTTACTCTGTTGTGGTGAATAGAATGTCCAGCTGGCCAATCAGGAGGCAGCTGAGCTGAGAGCCAGCCAATGGGATTCCAGCTGGGAGCGTTTAAAAAGCTCAGGCTGACAGTTGGTGAACAGTTAGAGTTAGTGTTGAGATGAGGAGACAGTTGAGAAAGTTAAGCCAGAGAGACGGCTGAGTTTTAGGGTGTTCCTCAGGGAACTGTATTTTGGGGAGTTAGGGGGGAAGCAGACGGCGCTTTGCGCCATCTTGGAAGCAAGGAAGGGGAGGGGCAGCCTCATGCTGGGCGCCCCAACCCCTTCCCGAACATGTCATCGGCGCGCCCTTCGCTCCACACGATGGGCGCTCTGATGACGTACTTCCGCCGCAGCGTCCGGACACGCTGAGGCGGAAGAGACGCCGACACGCTGAGGCGGAAGAGGGCCCTGGAAGGAGCTATTTTAGCGCTCCTTCCAGGGCCCAAAAAGAAGTGGATCGGGGCCGAGGAGTGCGGCTACCTTGGCCTCAATCCGCAGCTTCCCGGGGCGGCCCTCTTAGGCCCTTAGAGTCTAGAAAGGAGAGACTCTGAATACTTAGGGCCTTTGCAGACTGCCAGAAATAGTGCAAATTGAGTC